GTGGCATCTTTGTTCTGAAAGTTGCTTTCAGTTTTTTGCAAGGTTTGTTCTCTTTTTGTTCACAGCAGTGAGTCGCGGGAACATGGGTTCACGGCTGTGCTGGACATGCGGGGACAGGGGGCGACATGGGCGGCCATCAAGCCCATCCTCAAGGTGCTGCAGGAGCACTTCGCCTCGCAGGTCCACACGGCGTGCATCATCAAGCCCGACAACTTCTGGCAGAAGCAGCGAACGTCTCTGGGCAGCCAGAAGTATAAGTTCGAGGTGAGTGCTCGAGTTGTGCGTGTGGTTATCAGGATATTAGCTGCCGTCGATTGGCCTCGCTATTGACCATTTTGATGTTACAGACCAATATGATGAGTGTGGAAGCATTACCAAAGATAATAGATACAACACAGCTGACATCTGATTTAGATGGCACATTGCATTATGACCATGCGCAGTGGATAGATATGAGACTGGTAAGTAATACCTGTAACCCATAGTAAGAGTTGTCATGATACAGGGCACCCACCCTGTATGTCCTGTTAAATTTGTCAAAAAGTAATTTTTTAAATGCATTTTTGTCCAGGCATTAGAGGATTTTGTGTGGCAAGCAGCAGATTTATTGGACCGCCTCGATGACCTTCAAGAAGATCTTAGTCGCAATGATTTTGCGGATGATGTTAATGGTGCTAAGCATGGTATTGACGTTCATAATGATATGAAGAAGAAAATTATGAAGGCGCCGGTTGAAGATATAGATCTATTAGGGCAAAGATTATTGCAAAGGTTTGTAGATAAAGAATTGTTTATCCTCTTCCTTTTTTCAATTAATCTGTATAATTTATCTTAATTATTTCTTTTGGAATTCTTGTTTAGGCTTTCTGGTGATTCAAACAGCGGCTATGACTCTGGTTACTCAGGAAGGGACAGTGAAGCAAGTTCTGGGGTCTCCAATCCTGATTTACAGGCATCTGTACCTCAGATACTTCAACATTTAGAGGCCATACACTCTCAACAACAACAACTTTTACAGCTATGGCACCATAAAAAACTAAAACTTGATCAATGTTTCCAATTGCGTCTATTTGAGCAGGATTGTGATAAGGTATCTAGCAACACTTTCCTACCATTTTTTTTTTAAATTTATCTGTCACTGTACATTCACTGTTCATTGATGTAACTGGTTGTGACAAAGTGATTATTTTGGACAAATTTGCTGTAGATGCTTGACTGGATATGCCGCAACCGAGATGTTTTTCTAATGAATTATGTGGAAATTGGTCGAAGTTACAAATTAGCCAAGAAACTGCAGGAAGAACATAGTCATTTTACAATGAGCTCAATGGTATTGATTTGTGGTGCAAATTATTAATCTTGTTAGTTCCCTAATTTCATACCCTAATCATCGTTTTTCTGTTCCCTCCAGAATGTGTATGTGAACATCAATCACATTTTGACTGTAGCAACTAGACTAATAGAAAGCAATCATTATGCATCACAGCATGTACGGGCTGTTGCAGCAAGGTTAGATCGAACTTGGAAAGAGTTTGCTGCTGGTCTTGATGAAAGAGCCTCTGTGCTGGGTCTTTCTGTGCTATTTCATCACAAAGCAGAGCAGGTTTGTGCTCTTGATGTAGTCAAAAATTTGACTTTCACAATAGGTAAAAGTCTTTGATGTTATCAAAGTATTTTCTTAAAATACTTTGCATGGTTTTTATTGTTTTACAGTATGTGGAAAATGTCCCCAACTGGAGCCAAGCGTGTGAAAATATCAGTATTCCCTCAGAAATACTGATTCTTGAAACTGCCATCCACCAACACCAAAATCTTTATGAATCAATGTGCCAAGCTTATACAGAGGTATGTTTTTAGCTCTTGAATTCTGGGAGGAGAAAGTCACCTGTTTGCTGTTATTGTGTTTGATTTTTTAAAGGCATGCGTGTGCGCATAATTTGCTGTCATGTTCCCTCTTGTAAGATGATACAGTATGTGTAATGTGTAGAGCTTTGGACAGACAAAGGCCAGTATCAAAATTACTTTTTGCACTATAGAGCCTGGTGAAGTAATACAAAATTATGTAGGTAAACTGTTTGCTCAAAAGTTCGGGAACTAAAGAAACCTGAGTTTGAATTGTAAATACTCCTAGTTCAAAGCTGTAAGAACTAAAATCAGTGCAGCTTTTAAAAAATGTATGCACTTACCTGTTTTTACTTGTGTCAAAGGCCTTAATGGAGTGTCTGTTTTCTTTTTATGAAACAATTCTTCTTTTATCATGCCACTATTAGTTGTTCTTAAAATTTTGGAATTTACTTTAGTAATTATTTTAGGTTTTAGGTGAGATTAAGTGTCCTTTTGGTCTGACTGGGTGATATTACCTATCTTTCATTCTGATTTGCTCCGATGTTTGTACTCATATTTACCCCACTGATAATATTTTATGATGTATTACAGACTAAATTAACACTTTTTATTTTAACTTCTGTTCGTTGTTGCGGTTAGGCTGGCTTGTTGGTCCAGAATCGGATTTTTGCACAGGCAAGCAGCACCTTTTTCCTTGAATGTTGCATCAAACCTACTTCCTTGTAGCATGATAATTTTTGTTACCTATTATTTTTTACTTTGAGGATTTAGCGTATTGGGCACAGTACATATATCTGTGATGCTCACGCTCACGGCCCTGCATGTTATTCAATTATAATTTGTTTACGATTTTGTTTTCACATTTATAGAGCACATAATTTCCCAGTATCAATAGAAAGTCACCATAACAGCAAACAATATTGTCCATCTTGTGGTTGTTCCTATGTTTCTTTGCTTTAACTTTTATTGATATTTTCACACTGTTATTCTATTCCTTTATGAAGACATGTGTTTCCTTTTTCATAATAGCACAATATTTATTATTTTGACAGCACTTCTACCTCTTCATAAGTTTTCTAAAATATTGATAAATTTTTGTGGCCCTAGATTCAAGTTTCTATTTCTGATATGATTTAGTAGTTAAAAATTACTTGGGGTACCAGATATTATTTCTTTGTTGTTGGAGAAAATTGTTTGTTCTAAGCCACATAAAGAAAAAATTTAAATACTGCTATGACTCAGCATGTCCTAAAATGTAAAGGTTTTTACTAGCTAGTTTAGTGTCGTCACAGGTATATTCGCTTGTCATAGAAGTTTCATGCAAACGTTTACTGAAATGAGGCAAAAATGGAAAAGAAACCAGTTTTGGAAGTTTTTCTTCAAATACCTACATGTTGTGTCTCACAGGTTTATGATTCATATCAGTCCCTTCTCAATGGACTTGACCTTTTAGTTCAAGTGTGTCACAATTTCCCATCCCCTGCTGCCCGCAACGAGATCGTCAAAGGGACAGCAGTCACAGAAGTTGCAGCAAACATCAGTATCGATACTGTTGATGGACAAAATGTATGTCTGCACTTGCATTCCAATGCCAGTGAATAATGTGGTGTTGGATACAAATAATTTTAAATGCTAGAATTTTGGTGGTGGCAATTCTCAGATATCTTTCATCAAATTGGTGATTATGACATGGCATGTGGAAAAAAATCTCTCTTTCACATCTGTCCTTATTTAACAGTGTTGCTGGAATTATGGAATTTCCAAACCAGCGCTGATGCATCCCTGGATATTTATTGTGTATGATACACCACACCACCAACTCAATCCGGACTTATTTCATGGCACAGGCTTTTTTCTTTTCTATCTTTCTCTTTCAGGAAACAGTGCATATTGAAAATCTCATTCCATCTCAAGGGATTGGTTTGGTGCATTCTTTGTGCTGCATTTACATTGTAAACATCTTGTACTAACAGGTATGGTGTTGGTTTTTGTCTTGTACAGGTCCACAGCACAAGCAAAAAGTTGTTGTATCAGCTGGATCGCCTTGTAAAGATCTGTAATCAACCAGGAATGGATCCTCCTCGCAAACATGTAGGCTATTGTATTTTTAACTTTTAACTAAAACTGCTGTTAGTTTGCTAGAAAATCATTGCTTACTACAAAGATATTGCCACTTTTCTTTATCTAAAAAATTGTGTAGGTTTTGCCGCAATTTTGTAGTGACAGACAAAATTTGTCTAATGTTTGCAAATTTGTAAATTTTTAAAGACTTATTTTTTTGCTACTTTTTTTTCTTTTCTTATTTTTTTTTGGGGGGGGGGGTGTCAAGTTTTGGCTTTTTTGATCATTTTAATTTTCTTTATTTTATCCATTTTTAAGAAAACAAGAAGAAAATCGTCTGGACAAGGGCCTGTAAGTCCTATTTTGCAATTTGATTTTGTGTTGATTTTTGTTGCTTAAAAGATTTTATTTCAAGTTTTATTATGTTCTGTTGTAGTTGCAAGTAGATTGTTATTTCAGTGCTTCTATATTGGTGTCAAACCACATCACCTATGAAGTAGTTTGCCCTGTGCACCTGTTCAGTAGCAACACATAGGGTTGGAATGGTGGAATAGATTGTGTTATCTCCCCCCAAAACTTAAATTTTAGAAATTCAAAATCTAATGTTTGTGTAAATAGTTTCTTCTTTATGAACCTGCAACACACCTTATGCTCATTATCAAATTGCACTTCCTGAGCCAAGGAGAACTCCAATTCTCTTCTCTTAATTTTTCTAGTAAATCATTGATCATTCTGGAGCAATGCCCTTTTTTAACACCTGTAGTTACTCTCTCTGTTTCTTAAATCTAAACATTGAACTCTATATCTCTGTAGGAAATTCTATTCAGGGATTTGTTGAAAAACTAGCATGCAGGTGTTGGATTAGATTTGATCGGTACCAGTTTGTAACGGCTAGTGCATGTTTGCTTACCAAAACTCAGGGTGTTGTTTGATGGCAAAACTGAGCCACATCTTTCATGTGGCCTTGCACACTATAGTGAGGTTTGGGTTTTGCACATGTACCTGCTGAATATTATTCAGTTACTCTCGTTCCCCCTTGTAATTAAACTTTCCATGCAATTTTGTTGAAAGTAGCATTGTTTAGTCTATTACTGTATGCTTAATGTGTATTTCCCTTCAGCAGGGAAGCACTGGTGATGGTCCACACTTTGAGCAAGCCGCCAGTCGGCAGGCCAATCCTGCAGCGGATTACTCTGAGGGTGCCAGTCATGTCCTGGACGTGATTCATAGGATTCTGAATCACCACCGCACACTGGAGCAGAAGTGGCATGTCAAGAAAATCAAACTGCACCAAAGGCTTGCCCTGAGACTTTTCCAGGAGGACGTGAAACAGGTTTGCGAACACATCTCAACGCAACTTTGGCGTTTTATCAACACCCACCGGTGTCGTCTCGTCTCTGTTTTTTCCCTTACACCCACTCTGCTCCCGCGCCCAGGTCTTGGACTGGCTGGCCAACCACGGGGAGGTGTTCCTGAGGAAAAACATTGGCATCGGACGCAATCTGCAGAAGGCGCGCGTGTACCAGAAGAGTCACGAGCACTTCCAGAACGTGGCCCAGGTGAGTGTTGGCTCCAACAAGGGCTCGAAGAGAAGAAGGAGGAGGAGGGGGGGGGGAGTTGGTCCGGGCATAGGACAGAGATGGATCGATCGTGGGGGCGGAATGGAGTCGCGTGGATATGATTTGGATGCACTCTGAGTGCCCCGCTGAGCCCACCCCGCCGCCCTGCGGGCCCTGCGCCCTGACGCGGTGGTGCCTGCGCCGGTCCGTAATCCGCTACTTGGGGGAAAGGGCGGAGTCCCCGGCGCGGCGAGCGGGGGGAGCGGGGGAGGGTCTTATAGACGTGACAGGACCGTCGGCTCATTACCTCACGGCGACGGTAAAATTCCTCTCAATGACGAACGCGACGGCGGCCGCTACTAACGGAGACTGTGTGCGTGCGCTCGTCCCTTCTTCCCAGAACGCCCGTCCTTTTCGTCCACCTGTCCTGTCGCGTGCGTAAGTATGAGTACGTGTGTACGACTTGAGGGCGACCGGGACAGGTGGCGGCGCGGGCGGGGACAGCTCGGCTCGATGCGAAGGGCCTTGAGCGGACAGGGGCCCCCTTTTATGCAACCCCCGTGTTCTCTTACGTCACGTCTGGTTTCTGCCTAGTTGTCGACCGGGCCGTCGTCTCCTCCTCCTCCCCCTCCCGCCTCCCGCCCCCCTTGGCACGTAGTGCACCATACATGATTCATTGGCACCCTCTGCTCCTCGACGTGCGCCCCGTGTTTGATGATGATCGCGGACCGCCGCCCTCTCCTCGTCTATATGGAGGGATGGAGGCTTATTGTCCGCAAGACGAGCTTAGCAAGACGAGGCGGGGTGAACGAGCTCCGGGCCGGGGCGTGTGG